GAGGCCGCGTATCCTGGGTTTTGGTGGGTTGGAGCCCCCCGGGCCCGGCCGCTGACAGAGCTGGGGAGGGGAGGAGGCGCCCCCCCGGGGCCTGGGCGGTGGGAGACCTGAGGCCGGGTGGGAATTGCTGAAGACCCGGCATGGGAAGCAGCCAGGAGCAGGAGATCGGCACCGGCCAGCGCGGGTTCCTCTTGAAGCCACCGTGGGGAGTGAGCCTGACGTCCTGGGGGCTTGTACAGAGACTGGAAGGTGAAACATCGGATGGAGGACACGTCGTGCCTGTGTCATGGGTATGACAGCGTGGGTTGTCTATCCGTGCGATGCTTCAGCTGTCAGCTGTGTGCCATCATGTCACCAAAACTGGGAACAGAAAAACCTCTTAACACCAATGCTGCAGTAAGAAGCAGGCATCCTTTGGTTAACATCGTGCGCAAGGGAGATTAGTCCATCCCTACGAGCAGTGCCACTTTTCTTGGCATATTTATACACAAAAGTTTCAGGATTACATAATCTAAATTACAGTGATTGGTAGTATTTAAAATATCATCATAACACATTTAAATATCTGCTAAATCGTTCTCAGATCAAACTGTGCTTGTGTACAAGGGGTCTTTTGGTGGTCTCTGGTGGTCCCTAGTGGATCTGAAGAGGCACCTCTTAAGGGTCCTTTCCATGAAGTCAGAGTCTTTTTATATGGTCTTTCCTGAGCTGATACCTTTATTTGTAGATTCCTCAGGTCCCTTGTCTTGGTCTCAACTGGTGTTCTGCTGGTTTATCTGTGGTCTTTCAGAATGTACTGGCATGTATCAGTCAGTTACAAAAATCATGTCCTTGAGTGCATTTGTTCGAGACTCCTTGTAACAGTCAGACTCGCTGAGTGATTCAGGTGAAGGCTGCAGAGATCTGCTCAAGGCTTGTTCCTCACTGGAGTTGCCATTCCTGTCTACAGTGAGGAAATAAGAAGTTGGGTTTGTAACCATGAGTGCTGGGGAGGATGGAGGGAAGTTCGGAGCTTTGGAGATGTGACAAACAGGTGAAAGTCCCAGACTGACAATGTGAAAAAGTGGATACTGAGAGACTCATCTAAGTGAATCTGGAGGCCATGGTGGAGCTCAGGGTGATGTATTTGTGCTTTGGCAAAAGAGGCAAAACATCACCCAGGGAGGTATTTATGGTTCACACATGAAACCGGAGACATCACAACTCTCCACTTGTCACTGAAAGTCCTTAATTGTGTTGTGTTAAATTATGTTGTTCTGTTTTGAAGAAAAAGGTAAATGAACTTATGAAAAGAATAACAGAAGCAAGGGATTTAGGAAGCATAATCTATGGAAGACAATAAAGGAATGTCTCTATTTTGTCTAGAAAAAGGTGACGTATTAAGGTGTTGTTCGGTTTTCTGGCGTTTTTCATTTAGATCTGTTCATAGATTGAGGCCTCCAGTTCTGTAGGGTGTGGCTATAGCACAGTCTGTGTGACTGAACAGATGTAACAGGTAGCAATTCAAGCTTTTACAGGTGGGTGGATCTTATCCACCCGATTTCCATTAGATGGCTCTGTGACTTTATTGCTGAACAGAGAGTTTTGTCTCAGAATGTGTTCTGTTCTCTCTTTGTTTTCCTTTTTTTAATGGTTCCAAAATAATCTTAAACATTTGGAAGATTCTTATGTTATGTTAATTTCTTAACCAATTATGTTTAATGTTTCTGTGTTCTGTGGTGTTACTTGTTTCTCCTTTATGCTTGTGAACTTCTGTTTTTTGGGTGGATTCTTTTCTCTTGCCATTTCAAAAACATGGAAAGATGTGAGGTGCTGTTTGTTATGAATTCTGTTAAGCTTTTAGGATGGAAATTTAAAGAGCATCCATAACAACCAAAGATGTTACAATCTCTTGACAACATCTGGTACTTCATAGCATTTGTTACAACATCAGTCACTTTTTTTTTTTCCTATGCAAAAGCTCGCAAGTCAGACTCAGATCTAGAATCTCTAATTATCTTGTAACCAGTTTTTTACACAAGGTAAAACTGGCAATGTGCAGTGTTTATTTTACTGAACAGATTACAAAAATAGGTTTCTGATATTTAATGTAGAAGTCGTATCTGTGAGAACTGTCTTGGCTTATTGTTGCCTGGGAATTTTGCATGCAGAAGGACAAAAATAGAGCGTATTTAGCAGGGATGACTTCCTGTGGAGCATGCTCCCTTGAGACATCTTGGATGTCTGTTAGGTCCTCAGCCAATGTTTAACGTATACTTCCTTCTACTCAATTCCTTGCATACAGAATTGTTGCCATGTAAGTTCTGAGTTTTCTAAATGTTGCATAGTTTACCCCATAGGAAATAATCTGCAATATGTCCCTACCTAATGAAATTTATGTTGTTTTTTTCTTCTAATGTAAGTATGGGAAGTATGAGGAAATAAGGTCTTTAACATCTTGAAGAAATGCAAGAGTCATCGCACATGAGGGGGTTTGTGAGTGGGGGAAAAACAAAAAGAAGGAATGAATTGGACACATGAGAATGCACAGAAGGGAGGTTGAGAGCATTGTTAGCACAAAACAAGAGGGTAAGAGAAAGGGATCTAGACACACAGTTTAGACCTGTTGAGAAAAAATTGTGCTACATTTTGTCATGAAAACTTTTAAGGAAAAACTCTCTGGAAGTTTGAGAATAACAGTGCCGTGTATTTTGGAAAAAGCTAGGAAAGGAGTGAATGGATTTCCTCATTATTGGCATAAAGACTTGAAACCCACATGAAAAACCAGGTGTGTGCGCTGATACCTTGTTAGCAGACCATGAAGCAAATACCTGGAAGCGTTCTAAATGTCTGTCACAGTTTCTTAGGGATGTGCATCTTTAAACAGGGATGGTGCTGATGGTAGTGATGAAGGCCAGACAGCGCATGGCATGGATGTCGCCGTTCCTGACAGAGATGAGTCATCTCATAAAAATGAAGACGCGTCTGATCACGAACTGGATGAATATGATTTGGAAAATTACGATGAAGAGGAATGCACAGGTGAGTAAAATTTACATGGCAGCTGTGCAGTGTAAGTGAAGAACCTTTTCACTTCTTGTTGTACTTAAGACTTTAGTATCCTAAAACTACACAGTGCTATGTTTCAAGTGCTGGAAATTCACATTTTTGATTATTTGCTTGTCCGAGTTTGGAAGTCATTTAGAGAGTGAAACAATGCAGTGTTCCCCCCTCCCTGACACTAGAACCGGGAGCATATTGGAAAGACTGTCACTCCCCCTGCTGCAGTGCTGGAGCAGAGCAGCAGAATTCCCTGAAAGCACTAAGCCGTTTCCCTTACTGAAGTTCTTGTGTTTGGAACTTGATTTAGCCCAGTCCTGACACTTTGCAATACAGGTATTGTTACAGGAGTTTCTAACTTCACCTGTTGTAGGTATGTTTAAAAAAATGTTCTGAAATTCCCATCTAGGTGATCTAAAACTTGGAGACTCTTTGGCTACTCTGGCAGTATATGGGAGTAATGATAATGATCCTTACATCACTCTAAAAACCACTGTAAGTACTGTAAAAATGTTAAATGTCTTTAACAGCATAAACTTAAAAATCAGTCAGATTTTCCACACAGCGTCAGGTGTCTGTAAGGTCTTGCAGTCCTTATCCAAAGGTGTGCCAGATTTTTGATTAGATGGAACCCTTTTGTTTTAAGGTTGCTTTGTGGAGTTTGCTGTATCTGTGCTTTTTACTTTTAATTCTGATGTTATGGCAAACTGGATCATTATTTAAACCTTGTACTTCTGTACGTGGAGTACCTCCAGTACCTCTCACCTCTAGTAGGACACAGAAAATGCTTGAAGAAATAACAAATCTCAGGCCACTTAGTGACCCAAACTGGAAAACCTCCCAGGTTGCAAGACTCTTACACCTTCCACCAGTGCATGGAAGAAACCAAGCTGAGGTGGACTGAGGCTGCGTGTCGAATTAGGGGCATGGCATGAAGCAATATATGTCCCTGTTAAGTGTATGGGCACAGCACACTGCAGTCGACTGCTTCTGACTATATTAGTTTCCACCAAGTGTCAGATGGAGAGCATCTTTGCAGGAGCTGGCTTTGTAGGAGCTCTGCAGGGGGTGAAGACGTCTCTGACTGCAGCGTAACTCAAACTAATGGTGCCAACAGGGCTGTCCTGTTATGCAGCCTGTTTGTCTTCTTGTGCTATTGCCATAGTTAGAATACTGCATGCCTCTTCAGAAAAGATACAGAGAGATTCCAGAGGGCATCCCACAGTTTAGTTCAGAAGGATAAATTGTGACTTGTGAGTGACTTTAATTTAGGTGGAAAGATTACAGAAATCAGTTACAAGGTGAGCTTGTGTGAAAAGAAACAATGTGATCTAGAGAGCAGCTAGGAGAGACTGTGATCATCTGGGGCATGGTGATGTGGACTAGGTCAACTTTTGAGCCCTCTTCTAAGCATAAATGTTCTTCAGATTTTTCTGGGTGCTGTCCTTCCTATACTATTTTGCTTTCTTTACAAAGCTAGTAAGATTGAAAGAAAAGATTAGCTGTAGGCTTCTGCCACAACGTCTAGTTTGTATGTCAGGGGACTTTGTCAAATGTGTTGTCTCAGACAAGGAGTTGTTATGGTGGCTTTACATCCTGTAACAAAGCTCAAGGAGGAAGGCATGCATCTTATCTTTAAAACAAGTTCACTTGCACTTGATTTTTTTCTTGCCGCTTTGTATCACTAGAGGAGAGAAACGCTGTAAAAGTGATTTTTATAGTCTAAGAGGTATTTGGACATGGATTCAGGGAGAACATGAGCTGCATTTACTCTGTGTCAGAAAAGCTAACTTTCTAATAGACATAGCAAAAGTCAACACCCTTTTCTCAGG